AGCTTTCAAATTGAGCCCACTACAGCTGCTTCTATTTGCTCGTCTGCCAAGCTCCTTACCTTTGCCACATTCAGCTTGGCCTGTCATTCCTGGTGCTTCTCTCTGCTCCTTTCATTTTCTTGTTCTCTCTGTCAACCATAACCTTTTAATTGCCCTTCCTGACAGAATGAGATATCAAAGTAACTTTATCCTGGATGACAACAGAACTGCTATTGAAAGGAAGTATCCTGTGAAGGAGGAAGGTTGGAGAGGTGGGTAGACAGGTGAAGATAATGTGGAGAAAGAGGGGAGTTCAAGTTGACTCTACATTACTCGTACACAGAATCAACAAAAAACTATATGAGCTTTATAGCCGTATTGTTTTTCCATTGATATATTTTTGGCTTGCATTTTACAGGTGCTGAAATATTGATGTTGGCCCTATGTCAATATTATCACTCTGGCTATATAGACACCAGGTTTTGATAAGGAAGAAGAATTCATGGAATAAAAAAGACGATGGCTCTGGTTTTGCGGCATTGATATGCAATACTTAATCAGTATACTAACCATAGAGGTTGTTCTGTTTTATTTTGTATTTATACTTGCCCTCATGCTTCCCAGTTTGTTTTACTTCCTGCCATTGTTTAGTTTTATTTGTCACCTGTGTTCTATTATCCCATCAGACCTCCCAGTACCTCTGTGTTTTCGCTCAGTGAGCCCTTTTGGTTTTTTGGATTTGCCTTTTGTTTGTGCAGATTGCTACGCTGATGACCTGTTTTGTTTTATGTCTCAAGCTTCTAGTAAACTTTGTTTCTTTTGGACCGATACTCTGTTTTTGTGTGATCCCTGCATTTTAGTCTTTTGAGTTCTGACCTTCACACGAACAAATGTGTGTGCCTGAGAAAACAGGAAAAATGATGAGGCAGGCAAACGTGTGGCTACTCATTCTAAGTCTTCTCGGGCTATATTTATTTAACATTTTCCAAATGCAAACAGTCATTGTCAATCTTTGTTTTTTTTCTAATTTTCACTGTATTCACAAAATGTCTTTCTTGTGTCCATACATACATGTCAAAAAGCATAAAGTATGGTTCATATGGTAAAATGCATCAAAACAGAATTACCTTTATCAGATTTATATCTCATGAAATTTGTCTTCAACAAAATTACATCAAGAAAAAAATCAAAATTCACACTTCTATTTCATTCACTCATTTATATTCAACTACTATGCTCAAATCAACATATTTGGTGTCATAACTTGGTATCTAAACCGTTTTAGCTGTTCTGAATCACATTTACTCTGGGGTAAAACAATAAACAATCCCTAACTTAGGGGAGAGGGCTAGCACAGGCTAGCATGCTAACACCTACATCTTTCAGTAACATTTAACCAACATATTTAGCATGAAACAACCCATGAAAACATACATATTTGATTGGCTTCTCAATAAACAAATATGATGATGTGCAAGAGCCAGAAAATACCAGGGAAGGCAGTGTTATGCTACCATGTTAGCTTAGCCAGCACTCAACAATCGGCCTTAATACAAAACTGAAGTAACAATTTAACTACTGCATGAAACACGTAAATGTTCTCCAAATTGACTGGGTAAACAATCGTCCCCAAGTTATTTATATGGTGTTTTGTGCACTTTACATGTTTAAGCTGAGAAAACAGGAAAAAAGGAAGAGGCAGGCAGACGTGTGGCTTGTGCACATACAAGTCCCGAGTCGTGAGCCGTGAGCGCTGCACTGCTTCTTACTGCTTCCACGGGTTTGAACAACACTTATAAGGAAGTTATTATTATAGATCCTTCTATTTGACTGTTCAGAACCAAACCAAACCCAGCAGTCCCAGAGCCTTACAAGATGCAATGTCTACTGGGCCAACATGTAATAACACCAAAGAGGCCTACCAAACCCAGTAAAGTGCTCACCAAACAGACTGTTGAAGATGACATTGAGGCTTACCTAGAGGTATTTGAGAGTACAGCAGAGAGAATTACTGCAAAAGCTGCCTGGAGTGGCAGAAGACAGCTCCAAAGGTACACTATCAGAATCCCTTGATTGACATCCCCTTCCAGAGAGCGGCCATGGATATAGTAGGACCCCTGCCAAAGTCCAGTAGGGGGCACCATTACATCCTAGTCATCATGGATTATGCCACCCGCTACAGAGGCAGTCCCGTTACGCACTGCAACTCTTTAGTCGAGTTGGCATTATCAAAGAAGTTCTAACTAACCAGGGAAGCTGCTTCATGTCTCGGGTAATGAAGGAGATGTGCAAGTTGTTGAAGGTGAGCCAGATAAGAACCTCAGTGTACAGACGGATGGCCTTGTAGAACGTTTCAATAACAGCCTCAAACAAATCTGCAATATTGTCACAGATGTGTCTGGCTATGTTTCCGGCGATATCGCCACCATGGTCAGTGTTTTTGTCTGTGTTTTTGTCATTTTTATGCGGGAGAAAGCTATTTAATACTAGCTATCTACCGAGAGATTTGTTTTTAGCTTTGCTAGCTACCCGGGTAAAAACAAGATGGCAGTCGTTCAATACTACTTTGGTTCCGAGGTTGTGGACGCAACCACTCAAGAAATAGTTGTAAGCTTCTAGACTCTTGTACGCCTTCATCTGGCAAGCCGTGTAGTAGGAGGTCTGGAGGACGAGTTCATTTGTAATGACGATCGCCTCCACACCGGGGAAATCGGTCAAGTTGTGGCAAAAATCGCTCTTCTATATTTTGTAGGGATCACAACCAATATGTGTTTATATTTTGTGGTGATGCTGCATGCAGGTTCAACCAACCCTTTTATGTTTTCACTTTGCTCCATTTCCAATTCGTGCAGTATATTGGTTCTTTACTTCCTGACCTCCATCAGAATTTTGCACGTCACAATAGTCACGTGATTGCACAAACAAGCTATACCAAAACATTAACTTCTGAATAGCCACAACTTCATAGGCACATTGAGTAAGACAGGAAACTAGGCTACTTTTACTCTTCCCTAGTTGCTCTAGTAACCAATCATTTTAACTCCCCACTGACGTCAGGACTGCAGAGTCGCAGGCTGAAAACTCACCTCTTCAAGAAGTACTACCCTGAGCCTTCCACTCAGCACTTATTGTATTCATACTAGTTTGTTGCACTTATTGTACTAGTTTGTTTCTGCACTGTACTTTTGCTCTGGTTTATGCTCTTAGATGCTTGTTTAAAAAAGGAGATGCACTTATGACTTCTGGTGACTAGTAGTTCTCTTGAATACCGATGTTGAATACACTTATTGTAAGTCGCTTTGGATGAAAGCATCTGCTAAATGACTGTAATGTAATGTAATGTATGTTTACATATGACTGCTCATTGGTCTTAAACACTTGACTCACTACATTGTATGTAGTGTTGTGATATTTTATTATGGTACTGCATTATTATACTATTATATTGTATATTGTATCATACTATGTGTCAAATGAATTAATGGAGATGAAAATTAAATTGCTGACATGTTCAATATTTGTGGCATTGTTTGTATAATGGCCACTGTCTATTCATCGGAAAAGGAAAAATTCCCCAAAAAAACATTTAGAAAAAAAGGAAGAATTCTGAGGGAGAGCAACAGAGGAGGGATCCCTCTCTCAGGATGGACAGAAGTGCAATAGATGTCATGTGTACAGATTAAACAACATAAATGAATATGGATTGACAGAAATTATACATATAATTGAAGTAGTAATAATAGCAGAAGTAATAATTAAAAAAATATTACTACTACTAATAACAGCAGCATCGATAATAGAATAATAAACCCTGATTCTGGGAAGCAAAAATAGTCTTGTTTATTCTATTAATGAATTGATTTAGTTATTATTACAATAACAAGCCACCAAGAGGCCTTATGACAATATACGGGATATAACAAATTTGGAGAAACTCACAAAAGCTGAAATTCTAAATAATTTACACTTAATGTTGCCAATTCCTGGATCGGCCTGCATGTCTCAGATGACACATTTATGACAGACCCCTCATTTGTATAATGATGAGGAAATGCATTACAAAGCAATGTATAAAGAAAATAATACATCCATAAATAAAATGAAAAATAAAATAAAATATGCAATGGAAAAATAATACAGAAGTAAATTAATACAAAAATAAATACACACATTTAAAAAAAGGTAAAGGATCAACAAAAAAATCTAATATATAAGTATAAATAATTACTACATAAAAGGAAAAATTAAATAAGAAAATAAATAAATAAATCGGGGAATAAATACAAAGGAAAATAAAGAAGAGCAAATTAAAAGAGAACAATCCATTTATGTCCATATGTAAAATTTGATCAATTATGAATGCCTATATTTATTTTTAATATTTGTTTTGGTACATTTAATGGAATATTAGTTAATTTATTAGGCCACTTACATATATTTATTTTTGATTTTGCAGCTTCTGTCCTCCATAAACATTGTGGAACAGTGGCTTTTTTCTTAATACACCGTTCCACAATGATTCTGTGTATGGTCAGTGCATGATTCGTCCTTCCAGTTTGCTTCTACCCAAACAGCTCGTCCAGGTCTGATTGTGTCCCGTCCTGGGACTGGACAATAGCATCATGCCTCTCCAGTTGTTACGCTCACTGAGGTTTGGTGACCAATAAGCCCGTTGGGATTGCTTCCCACTAGAACCTCAGAGGTTGCTATTGAGTCAGCTTTCAGAATGGCAGCTGCTTTGCCCACCTTCACCTTTTTGATAATCCTCCAACAGTTGACCTTTTGGTTCCATGGTTCTTATTTCTAGGGCTGAAATAAACTCTCACACGCCTCCGTGATGAACTGACCCTCTCTGCGCACATCATGGGACCTTCCGTTTTACAAGAGCCTAATGCACTGAAATAGTCACGTGTGTGTGTGTGTGCGCGCGCGCGCGTGCGTAGGCTCTGCTACGAGCCTGTACGCCTTTAAATGTCGTATGCTAAGTAGAGGGCGGACCCGAGTGGCGCGTGTGTGTGCGTGCGTGCGCCTCTTGCCGGCAGCCGCTGTGAGTCGCACGGAGCTTACAGCCGCCTTTGAGCGTGTGATGCACCGTGGTCGACGCACCTGTGAGGAGCAATAAACCCAGCCCGGTACCGCCTCGTGCTCACCGCCCTTTCCAGCAGCGGAAACATTGCTGCTTTAAACGGGATCCTGGATTTTAATAACTACGGGGTGAGGAGTTTTACAGCTGGATTTTAACAGTTGGATACTCTTGGCAAAATGCTTAACTAAGGTCAGTAGCGTCGTCTTTTACCCTAACCTGTTCATGTTGCTGGTCCGCGTGCAAACCCCGTGGGCATTAAATGTAGTGAAACGGGAGCAGGTGCCACAGAAAAATATGAGGCAGAATAAAGGCAGGGTTCCTCTCCAGACGCACAGGTATCGCGCAACTTGACACTTTAACAGGACTTTTCCAGTTTGTGCGCAACGGAACGGTGAATATGGCGGAGCTGAAGCAGGTGTGAGTCTCCTTGAAGGGAAATCAGCTTTTGAGGGATTCTAAATGGGAATATCTGCGATGTTGGCCTCTCAATCCCCTCGCTGGAACAGAGGCACCGTGGCAGGCGGGTTTAGAATTACACACGTCCTCTCCCCTCCCTGAGGCGATGTTTTCGATATGAGTGATCCATTTTATTTGCATTTCTATTTGATCTTGCACATACCACCATGCGGTGTTTTAACCACGCTTTTGTATCAAATAGGAAGAGCATCAACCCTGAAAAAATAAAGACTTAAACCACGAAGCAGATTTCCTTCACCCTGTTTTTAGGGTGATGAATAATAAATGGCACGAACGCCAGGTGTCCAATGTCCACGCATTGTTCTCGTCTACAGCTTCATGTTCAAATGACAAACAAATGCACCATGACACGCAGCGCACAGCAAACACGGCGAACGCACTCTTTAAACGGAGATGCATATTGGGATGGAATTGGAGCAGGATGACATGCCGTTTGATACGTGACCTTCTGTGTGAACGGAGACGGACAGCACGCAGCAGCAGGCTGCTCACTTCCTCACCATGTAGGCTAATAAGCATCACATTCCTCCATTATCCCTCTTCCTCTCGTGTGTCTGGATTCCAAAAATCCAGCTGCAGCCTGCTGTTTTTACAGACTGGTCGAACGGGTGTCACATTTCCGAAACTCCATCAAACTAAACGTTGAGGTCTAAAATCAATATTTTAAACACGAACGCTTCATATTAAAATGGCCTCGAAACATCGGAACAAATCAAACCGAAGTAGTAGTTAGTATTTTTTTAAAGGTGTCCGAAGGATTGAGTGTGGGGACTTTTTTTATTTTTTTTTAATTTTTATTTTATTTTAGGAAAGCATGATTATGATGATTTTGATTATTTCAGTTCCCCGGTGGATCGAATGGCGTCGCGGTGTCCGCAGGGAGGGTGGCTGGAACGGGACTGCTCTGCCTCCAATAAACTGCATTTCATGCTGCACGTTGAGCTGTATTCCACTCATCCGTCCGCATTTTTAAAGCTGATCTGGGCCTGCGATTTAGACCCATTCGGGGCTTCATATTTAATTGAGTACTGCATTTTCCGTTTTTCATTTACGCTTTACTGCGACGAATGCACGATGTCTCCTAAGACAGCAGATCGGGTCCTTTCCATTGCAGAACACGCGAGGCCTTATGCAGTGCGCCATATAATCCACCACCTGCCTCTAAATGAGCCGCACGGTGTGCGGGCCCTCCTGTCTGTCTCACGCCTTTTAATGGAATACCTACACACGGTGTAAAAAAAACCCGACCATTTGAACTGATGGAAGAGGCTACACATTTATGCTAATTCGCAAGGAAATTCTATATTTTTTTCCCTCGCTGCAGCACATATTTCAACGTGTAGGATTTTAGGAGGTAATAGGATTTGATGAATCTTGTGCATTTATGCAGAGGGAATTCCTAATCAGGCTTTTTTTCAAAACAGGCTTCATAACGGGCGTGACCCACCCAGAATGCGTCTCTTTTCCCCGCAAAGGGCCCAAAGGTGCTTTATCACCTGCTCCATAATCATTTACAAACGAAAACACTTTGGTGTCATGTTCCGAGAAAAACAATTAGTGCCTTCAATTGGTACAAACTATTATGTTTATTATTCTACCGTCCTTTAAAAAATACTTTTTACTGCATTGGGAGGTAAAATAAATCAGGCTAGATTAAATATGATTGTAAATGTGTGATCAGAAAATTAGATTTGCTATTTTACACACAATGCTTCTAATGATCCTCTTCGAGTGTCATGTCTCCGACATGGACGGTGCGTATTTTTGGCAAAACATGAACCCCTCTCTCGATTTAATGTTCCTTCCCCCCCCCTCCCTATTTCGGGTGGGGGTTGTTCGGGTAGGATGGAGGCTGTTTTGGGTAATTTGGCTGTCCTGCTTTTTTGTTCTGGTTGGCAGCCGATTAACTGCGCTGACAAATCAGGCGCAAAAAGCCAAGGGCTCTCAAGGTAACACTAATCCCTCTGGGCGGGGAGAGTCAAATATTACGCAGGATTTTGGAGAATGCTCTTTTCTTTAATTCGGTCGTTTTTCTGCGTTCAGACGGTGTGTCTCACTCCCTGCTCTTTTTCGCTGTTTTTATTCTTCAAAGTGTAATAGAGTGTGACATTGCTGGACCGTGAATGTTTTCTTTTCCGTATCGAAAATATCTGTTGTGCCGTCTTTATAGACATCCTTTTAAATAAGGTGTTAACATATACATTTAATTTAAAGGAAAAATAATTCTCCCTCCTTTTGTAAATATTTCAGATTTATCCAGGCCTACAAAAGCACAGGCGTGAAATAACTTAAAGCGTTTGGCTTTTCATATTTTTTCACAATACTCTAACTGGTCCATCAGCAGGAATGAATCGGTCATAATTCAGAAGTCAATGCCACAACGTGATGTTCTCTGACCTGCTGGTAGTGGTGAGGTGTTTGTGGGTGTGTTCTCTGGTGGACTGTGGTGTAGTGATGGAGAGGTGTTTATCCACCCTATGGTTGTGTAATATATTTTGTGTGTCTGCAGTCATTGTGCAAGTGTGTACAGTCAGTGTGGTGTGTGTGTGTGTGTGGGTTTGTGGGCTGCTCTCTAACTCGGTGATGTAATGCCATGAAGGGTGCTGCAGCAGAACCACAGAGCCCAGAGAAGGCGTGTCCTGCCTGCAGAGTAGCTGAATAACAACAAGGTGCCCACGCTGCACC